GAGGCGGGGCCGGGGTGAGGGGCGGGGCTCAGCCGGGGTGGAGCTCCGTGTATAGGCCGGCCTCTTGGGGGCGGGGCCAGCGTGAGGGGCGGGGCCCAGCCGGGGTGGAGCTCAGAATGGTCCCTGGGGAATCTGGCCTCAGCTCGCGGTTATTATGTAAGCAGGCAGTGTCTCAGGGGCACCCAGGATGGCCTCCAAGTCCCCACAGCCCTAGATTCGCCTGCCAGCCGGAAGGGCTTGTAGTCCTCACCCACCTTCTTCTTCCAGGAGCCCCTGACGCCTGGCACAGCCTCGTGGAGCCGATTGATGGCCTCCCTGTGGTTGGAGGGAGAGGGTATTGGAGGATGGGGACCAGAAGGGGAGGGGCAGGCGCAGGGCCCAGACAAGGATGGGGCCGAAAGGGAAAAGAGGGCCCAAAGCCCAAGGCCTGCCCTGTCTTCCTTTCTGTGTCCACTGCGTCCCTGGGAGGGGTCAGACCTGAGGCAGACACCGCAAGCAGAGGTCCCTTGCCTGAGCCACCCCTAGGTGGTAGGAACCAGCCACCAACAGTGCAGAAGACAGCCATGACCCCTAGGGTTACTGAAGGTCCCGGGGGGCACAGAACAGCCCCCAAGGACCTCAGTGTATACAGAGACACGGCCCTGACCCCATGCAGGGTATGAGACTGAAACTGGCAGCTGCTGAGAAAAACAGTGGATCCTGCCTCAGAAGGGTCAACGGAGTCACCAGAGGACCAGCAGTTCCATTCCTACTGCAGCATCACTCAGCCAGGTGACACCTCGGCACTGACGACCTTGAGGACAGCTGGAGGTGTGACGGGATCACCTGCCTCTCTGTGCCATCCACCCAGGACACCCCAGGGTGGCATCTATAGGTCCCCCTGCACCCTGTGGGAAATGGCACAGCACTCTGCAGCCTGGCTGGTCACTTGTCCTACAGAAGGAAACCAAGTCTGGGAAGTGTGGGTAACCATCTGTGATGCATGGTGGATGGGACAGAACTGAAGTGTAGACCTCGGACTCCCAGGCCCCAGACCCAGGCACTCCCCAGGTGAGACAGCCCCCAGCCCCACCCCTGAGGACTCACCTGGTCACCTGGGTCCGAGTGCTGAAGTCCAGAGAACGCATGGATCTGAGCACCTCAATGCAGCCCATGTACTGGGGATAGAGAATACCGGTGTCAGTGACAGAGGCACTGTCTGGGCCCAGTGCCCTCTCCGGCTAGTCTCATGCTCCCCACACTCACCACCCCAGCCCTTCCTCTGCACTGACAGTTACCCTGCTGCCCCAGGGCCTTGGCACATGCCGCCTCCCCCCACTCCTTCCCCATCGCCTGGCCCAACTTCAGTGTCACCCGAGGCAAGGCTCTGTCGTGCGCTGTGGTGTCTCATCTTTAACCACCAAGAACCATGAAGAGAACAGGCTGGAAATGACCATCATTCCCCCAACCCTGCAGCATCCTGCAGGAAGGCACAGGGCAGGGCCTCACTGCAGGGGATGTTTGAGACAGGTGAACCAGAGAGAGAGGTGGATTGGTGGGTGCTGGGGCTGGAGCGGGGATGGAGCTTCCTCCTGGGTTGACAGAATGTTCTGGCCTAGGGGAGGTGGGCTGCACAGCGCTGCAAATGTACTAAGTACCACTGGACTATGCACCACAAAATGACAAATGGCTAATTTTGTTTTGTTTTTAAACTGGGAATGGAGCCCAGGGCCTAGGCTCAAACTTATGATCCTCCTGCCTCAGCCTCCAAGAATGCTAGGAACACAGCCATGCACCATTGTGCCCACCTTGTTTTGTGATTTTTAGCCCACTTTTTTTTTTTTGGGTACCAGTGATCAAACTCAAGTGCTTGCACTTGCAAGGCAGGCAGCAGAACCACTGAGCTAAATTCCCAGAGCCCACGCCCCACCCCTTTTTTTGAGACAGGGTCTCACTATGTAGTTCAGGCTGACTTTGAACTCATTATATAGCACAGGTTCTAATTCACAGCAATCCTCCTGCCTCAGCCTCCCAAGTTCTGGGATGACAGGAGTATACAATACCCAGCCTATTTTTTTAAAAATGGCAATCAACTTTGACCTCACAGTTCCATTTTCAGGGCTTTACCCCACAGCCATCCCAGTCCCTATCCCTAACTTTAATGCAGGTCCTGCCTAGAGCTGGAGTTGGGCACTGGGCCAGGCTGCTACTGCAGGGAATCCTCCCAAGCTCCAGCTCCCAGCCTTGCAGGCCTAGGTCTCCCCCAGAGCCTGTGCGCCTGCACCCTCTATCCCACCCTGCTGTTGTCTGCAGCACTGAATGTGTAGAGAGAAACCAGGGCTTAGCAGGGCCCATTTAGCAGATGCGGGATGCCCTAGGATTATTATTACTGTTGTTATTGCTGTTTCCCAAGCAGTGCATGGGATACACATTAAAATTCGTCTGCATTCCTTGGAGATGTAACTGGCTGGGCCGTGTTTTTGCCAAAGCTGAGCAGATCATGATGGTTGGGGCAGAAGAAGAAGCAGCTGCAAGGAGAAGCACTTGTTAGACACGTACAAGAAACCACCTCCAAGTGATGGCACCGGTGCCACCTCGCAGGACAGAAGGGACAGTGAGGAAGCTTTTCTTAAGGTGGAATGAAGCACATCCCGGCAGTGTGCAGGGCTCACGAGGCCTGCGCCTCGCGTATGGGGATGAGGCAGCCGGGGCAGGGTCCCCCTGCTTGCCCAGGACGGAGGAACTGGGCGCCCTCGGTAGTTGGTGAAGGTGGCCACAAGTCATTGTCCAGCAAATAGGGCACGCATGGGGCATCAGGAGAGGGCTGCCCTCAGAGACCTGTGACATCCCTGGCCTCCAGTCCGGCCTGCTGGTCGAGACACATGTCCCCACTGGCATGGGGCCAATGGTCCCAAAGCAAGGCCTGGGGACATTCATCCCCCACCCCACCCCACCCCACACACACACACACAGAATCTTGAGAAATGACAGACCTTGGTGTTTGACTCCACTAAGCTCTGGGGTGGTGAGTTACCCAGTTCACGGGGATGATGACCCAGGGTCAGCCAAAGGGTCCTGGCCAAGACAACAGCAGAGGCGCTGAAGTGGGAACCACGGCAGAGACCAGAGGGTAAAGGCAGAGCCGCAGCGTGGGGGCCGGGCCAGGGTGTTCATTTTGAGAGACCTCAGCCATGGGAGAGTTTCCGGCTGGGGGCGGGGCTGCGCCGCCTCACCTGTTGGGTGGGTGGATGGATGGATACACAGACAGATGGTGGACAGGTGGACGGATGGATGAGAAGTGGACGGAGAGTAAATCGGTAAGTGGATGGGAGGATGGGTGGAGTTAGGGCGGGTCAGTAGGTGGATGGACGGATGGGTGGACGGATGGATGGATGGATAGATGGATGGATGGAGGGTAGATGGTGGTGGATGGATGGATGGATGGACGGAGGGTAGATGGTGGTGGATGGACGGATGGATGGACGGATGGATGGACAGATGGTAGATGGTGGTGGATGGATGGATGGATGGACGGATGGATGGATGGACGGAGGGTAGATGGTGGTGGATGGATGGATGGATGGACAGATGGATGGATGGATGGATGGTAGATGGTGGTGGATGGATGGATGGATGGACAGATGGATGGATGGATGGATGGACAGATGGTAGATGGTGGCGGATGGACGATGATGGTGGGAGCTTGGGTAGATGAGTGCATGGAGAGATACACGGAAGGATCATAAGTAAACCAATGGCTGAATAGCTGCTGGATGGGCAGATGGTCAGAAGGGTGGATGGGTGGACAGAGAAATGGACAGATGAGGGATGGAGAGAGGATGGGCTGACCAATGAGTGACCAATAGCAAGCAGGGACTATATGTCCATCACGTGTCAGACATAAAGCATTTCAAAGGAAATCGATCACAGTCCTTGTCCGTGGAACATACAGCTTTGGAGGGATGCCAGCCGCTCAGTGGCTATCCTCCCTCAAGCACAGTACACGTCTCTGGGTGAGTGCCCATGCCAGTGTCTGATACTCCACAGCCATAGCAGGGGGCCGGGGATGTTGCTGATGCTACTGGTCTGGGTACCACATTCTCATCTCGGATTTAAGCCAGTTTGGTAGCCCTGTTTTTCCCTCCTAAGCAGTGTAAGGGTCAGAAGGTGGGGACTTCATAAAAAGAAGAGGATGCCAAAGAAAGGTTGGTCTTCTCTTCTTCTAATGGAAAGGCTGGGTCCACAAACAATGCCTGGTGCTGTGGCTGCCTCTTTGTGACCAGGAGGAAAGATAAGCCAGGGCGCTAAAGATGACCACACAAAAGACATAGAAAGGACCTGGATCTTGAAGGTTGCTGCCAAGCACCCTCCTATGGGTGGCCGCTGTCTATACCCTGCACCATGAGGCAAGGGTTCAATGGGAAGCAGGCAATTCTCGCTTGTGTAGAGAGAAGTCCAATGAGTCAAGATGGAACAAGAATACGGGTCCAGGCATCCATGGACTTGGGTGACAACTCTGGCTTCCTCTGGGGAAAGCTTCCAAGCCTTGGTCCATAGAGTCAATGCTGCTCAGATGTGGTTATTTCCACAAACACCCCAAGTCAGGGATAAATGGCCACCTAGGATGGGGCCGCTCAGTGGGTGCCCACTTCCCCATCCACTTAAATCCGACATAAGATTTAAAATGTTGCTCTGCGTCACACAGCCTCGTTTCAAGGTGACAGCAGATATAGAAAGGCCCTCTGGCTTGGGACCATCACCACTTCCCCCCACCCCGACCATCTTCACACAGCTTGTTTTCTTTCTTCTTCTTCCTGTTTTTCCTGTTTTTCCTCCTCCTCCTCTTCTTCTTCTTTGCTGTTGTTGTTTTTTGAGCCATGGTCTCACTATTTAGCCCAGGCTGGCCTCAAACTCATGCCTCAGCCCCCTGAGTTCTGGGATGACAGATGAGCACCACCACACCTGGCTGCTTCCTCGGTTTCGCTGCACCTCAGCTTCTGCAGAAAATAGGCAGAAAAATCTCCAGATTGTGGAGAGCATCCAGCCCAGGTCTCTAGAAACAACAGGTGCAGCGCTGGAGCCTGGCTGGTCCCACATCTGTGCAGGGTCCTTCCATTTGCACAGAGACACACCGGGCTCCCAGAGGGGCGGTGATGCCAGGCAGGCATCAACTGGCTCTGAGCCTCCTGGCTGCTGGAACGAAGCCCAAAAACTTGGGGCTCCAAAAACACCAGTTTACAGAGCAGGGGTTGCACAGCCTCACTGGGTTGAGTCCAGGTGTGGGCAGCAGGGCTGCTCCTCCCAAGGTTCCGGGAAGAACCAGGTCCCTGACCCAGCTTCTAGAGATGCCCACAGCCCTTGGCTTGCAGCCCCTTCCTCCATCTGTGGAGCTGGCACCAAGCGTCTTCAGCCTCTCTCTGCCTCTCACCCTTCTTTGCCTTCCCACAGAGACGGGCCCTGGGGACACTAGGACGGGGATGGTCCAGCATGAGTCTCCTCAGGGTCCTGAACTTGGACTCGTGGGTGTCATTATCCCGCCATCCACAGGTCCTCGGGGATTCTTGCCCTCGTGGAATCCCAGTTCCAGGTTTGGGCCTGGATGACAGGGAGTAACCTGGGCCTCTCTGTGCCTTAGTTTCCCCTTCTGTAACAGGGACTTCCTGGAGTAAGAGTTGTGTTCAGATCTGCTGACCCCATGTCTCTCCCCCAGTGCGACTGGGGGTAACCATTAACCAACCCCACCTCCTACTTCTCCACCAACAAGGAAGGAGGCTCATCTGGCATTTGTTACCAGTTACCAGCACCGCTCCCCGGCTGTTCTACACTGGGGCTTCCACAGCTGCAGGTTTCAGTCTCCAGTTCAAGTAGCCAGCCTGTCTCTCACTCTGCCACAAACTGTACTATTTCTTAGCCCTTCCCAGGCCCTACAACTCCCTGTGTTCTCTCTCTCTCTCTCTCTCTTTCTCTCTCTCTCCTATACTGAATGTCATTGCACTGAGCTACATCCCAAGCATAATCCTCCTGCCTCAGCCTCCCAGAGGGCCGGGATTACAGGTGTGCTCCACTTTGCCTGGCTTTACTTGCTCTCTTACGTACTTATTGCCTTCTCCCACTACAATCTAACTCCCTGAGGGCAGGGACCAGGCCCTTGTATTTCCTCCAGATCTTCCGTACCTGACTGACAGAGAAGTAGGCAAATATTAACTATGTCCACCCACACCTGAGAGCCAGAAGTAACTTCCAAACATGTGGGTCTGGGCTGGACCTGGGGATCTGCACATCCCAGAGAGTCTATGCCAGCCTGGACCCCAAACGGGTATGCCAGGTGGGGTATTAGCTTCCTGCGGCTGCTGTTAACAAAGTACCACCAACCAGAAGGCTTAAAACAACAGAAAGAGCCAGGCATGGGGCACATATCTGTGTTCTCGTCACTGAGGAGGCTGAGACGGAGGATCCTGCGAGTTTGAGTCCAGTCTGGGCTACAAAGTGAATTCAAGATCAGCCTGAACTACGTAGCAGAGACCTTATCTCAAAACAAAGAAAAAAACAAAAATGTATTCTCTCTCAGTTCTGGAGGCGGGAATTCTGAGATCAGTCTGTGCAGAGCCACACCACCCCCTACGCAGGGGTAGGGTCCTCCCTGCCTCTCCCATCTTCAAGGACTCCTGACAAGCTTTAATGGCTCTTGGGTCACTCCAGCCCCAGCCTCGTCTCCTCTCGGACTCTCCTTAGAGACAACCTATCGTTGCTCTGGGAGGCTCTCTAATCCAGTAGCACTCTACCAATCTGATTGCACCCACAAGTCCCCAGCTCAGGGCCCATTCTCAGATTCCCACGGCGCGCACGAGACTCCCACGCTGGCCCAGGCGGAGGGGCGAATGGCGCTAAGGATCCTTCTGAGAAATCAAGGACGCATGACCACCAGGCCCAGGCACAATCCCTCTCTCTCCCGGCCAGGACTTCCTGCAGTCGCTGCTGGTTTTGCTGACTGCGGTGGGCAAGGACGTCTCGGAGGCCAGCATCACACACCTGCGGCTTACTTCTAAATGTTTTATTAAAAACTAGGCACAAAAGTCAGGTGTGGAGGCGCATGCCTGTGGTTCCAGCTACCAGGGAGGCTCGGGCAGCAGGATCAGAAGTTCCAGGCCAACCTGGTAATAATGTAGCGACAACCTATCTCAAATTAAAATTAAAAGGGCAGGGGGTGTGGCTCTGTGGTGAACGCTTGCCTAGCTGCGCAAAGCCCAGGGTTCCATCTCCAGCATCACCAAAAGATAAAAAACAAACCACACACAGACGGAGACACTGAGAGAGGCGAGGTCAGCGTCCAAGGTGGAGAGGGGCTCCTCCATGCCCGCACTCCCTGTGTTAGTCTCAGCCCAGAACAAAATCCCCTTATAAATAAAGGCGAGTGTCGCCGCCGACACATCGGAGATGTAGGTCCGTGGTCTCTCATCTGGATCCCTGAGATCTTGGGGCCCCATTAAAGTCGCCAAAAGTCACCTCTGGCCCAGAGCCCTGCAAAGGGGCTTTCCTGGAGCTGGGTGGCTGAGCGCCCCCAACGCGCGGCTCCTCCTGGACCACCCCCCATGGGGCTGCGCATGCGCATGCGCCCCCTCCCAGCGGCGCCTCTCCCCGCCCCTCCCCACGTGATGCCGTGGGAACCCGACCAGAGATGGGGGTCTGGGAAGAGAGGAGAACCGACACCTCGCTCTCGGGGTCCAGGGCCTTTAAAGGAAGTGTAGGGAAAGCCCCAGACCCCGGGATGCAGGAAGGGGGTTCGGAGGGGACGCGACCCCCGGGTCCCGCGGGCGCACTCACCCGAACGATG